ATACCATTTCAAGATGATTTCTTCCCCAGTTCTGGTTATCCTCTCTCCCTGCACGAGAATCCTGCTAAAGTACTGGGATGCTTGTTCTTCCAACTGGTACTCAGCTTCTTGATGATCCACCACGTCTGATAGCATTGTTTCACTTACTGTTAATTTATCCTGACTACATCCCTGGTTTCCCTCATTATCTAGCTTATGCGACTGAGCATTACAGAAAAAACCCTATGATCTCCACCAGATAGAGAGATTATCAAATCCTACAGCTATTGGGTTAGGAGATAAAATGTTGTCACCTACCCTTTCCACTATATGCTCTTTTAGTCTAGCACCTGATGTATCTATATCAACGTCTTGACTAACAATTACATCAGAAATAACATCCAATTCATGATCAGTTTGTTCATTAAGATTAGAAAACAACCTGTCAGTAGAGTTATCAATTGATACACTTGCCAATTGATTAGAAGGAGCATTAAAATTCTCCAAGTCATTTACTTCATGGAAGGGAAGGCTCAACAGTGAATCATTATTATCATCAACAAATTCATCATCTGAAAACTGTTAAGCAGAACTGAAATTCCAGGTTAACACACAAGATGGGGAATCACCTCTCTTGTCCAAGCTTAATGGGGGCGAATTTCCTGGACCTTGATGAAAACCATTCTCAAAAGGCGGTTGGATACCACATGGCAGTAGATCATCAGGTGGCCCATTCTCTGCTCCCCCTTCCAAGTCCGTGTCTTCTTGCTCCTCATTGTCAGGAGCATTATCAGGCCCACCATTGTTGCCATCTCCACCATCATTTCCTTGGCCACCATTTCCATTATCACCATCATTACCCTCCTCATTATTATCGTCATTATCATCTCCCGGCGGCGAATCTATATTCATCGGTTGAAAACCCTGCTCCTCATCCATAGTTAGACGAAAACCATCCTGAATCCTCTCCTCTTCAATCAAGGCATAGTAATCCCTTGTTCAGTTCAGAAAGGCCACTGTCAGTCTGGAACATCGCCGATTTTTATGGCCATATGCTCTCATTGTTTCTGGGAACATCTCTCGGAGTTCATTCCTGTACATCAGCGCGTTGTTCCTAGCCATGTGCTCTAAAATAATCATCCAGAAACACCTCTAAAGCCACACCCGATTCGATAGAGCATTTATGATTGGGATGCCCTAATCTTCCACATATTCTACAGAATTTGTGTAGACTCTCATAGCAAACATTCAATCAAATTCGGAGTTCCCCTCGATGAAACTGCATAAAAGGCTGGAGTTAATGGATTTCCTGGCTCAATCTAGATTTTTGCTCTGACATAAGTAGCCTTTTGCATCAAAAAGTAATCCTCTTTGATTTTCTCCACTTCGCCATGATGCGCCGCCAATTCCCTAGCAGCCTTCCAGATGTAGTTAAGCAGGGGAGTCTTGTGAAGCCTGACCCAGATCGGGAGCTTTATGATGCGAACATGGTCTAGAACAAGATCATCATCTTCATACCATCATCGAAGTATGAGAAGACCACCATGCACCGCATATGGGCCATTATCAAGGGCAGCCAGAAGGTCAGTCTTGCATAGGAAGCGGGTGTCAAAGAAATTCCTGTCATAATGCAAAACTCTGGCGTACATTTCCCAGTTCCTGTGCAGATAACTCTGCATTTCCTCGCCATTAAAGTACCTGTCATCAATCAGATAACCTAAGAAAGACAATGATTGGTGCTCCGCTGATAGAGCCTCCGCCTCTGGCGAGATCTGCATGCTGGTGACTCTCATATAGGGTCTGTAGACTATATTTGGGAGAATATCATGTTTGGGAGAATATCATGAAGGGGATGATAGTTCTTTATCTCCTCCGAATATTCTGTCCTTTGAGGAGTATAGACACTTTCAGCAGAATTTTCACTTGTATGTGACCGATTCATCATGTAGTGATATATAGTTGATCAAATCTAATGACTAGTATGATAGTACACAATATACATTTTCATACATTACAGAGATGCTTTACATCAAATTAACCATTTAACTATTCCAATAGTTTCCTACTTAAGCATTGGAAAAACAATAAATTCTAAAACATAATGATAAGTACACGAATAACATTAATATTTCTGGCACATATGGGATTTCCTCAAAGTTATTACTCTTTAGATTTCATTTTCATAATTTATTTTGTTAGACTGAAAAATACTAATGGCTCTAGCTAACGGCTATCTTCTGCTTGGGCCTCCCATCCATAGCTTCATACCCCAATCTCATCCAAATATATATGACCAGATATGTGGGGGTGTTTTATTTCTAGCAAGAAACTCGAGTGAGCTGGAACAATTAATAAATAGGATTTACATCCCATACATGAAGGAAGTTATAAAACAAATAAATATTACCATTTCTGCAAACTCAACCCAAAAAACTCCCCAACAAAGGAGAGGTAAAAAAAGAAAAATAAAAATAAAAATGAAATACTGTCAGCTTTTTAAGTCTATCAACTGTCAGCAACCTTCTTTTCCAGACTAACCAGCTAACAAAGCTGTGTTTTGGCAATGAGAACTTACTCTAAACTATCTTTGCTGGTCTTTCTTTCCCGTTCATTCTAATCCATGTATCCTGTTGTTGTTGTATATGGTTTATTACTTCCCTGCCACTTTCCATTCTGTAGTCCTGGTTTGAGTTGATCTATGAGTTTAAGCAACTTTTTCCAATGCCAATTGCTATCTTTTGGACATTTATACTCCCAAATACTCTTCCCTTTGAGATAATATGTATGCATCCCCTTGATCCACAAGCTTTCCTTCTTTCTTTCCAAGTCCCATAACTGCTTCCTGGATCTTTAATATTTAATCCTCCTTCCATCTTTTTCCTGCATACAATATCCCAAGATAGAAGAGGCCAACACTTCCCACTATCTTTCACTCCCCATAAAAACTGTTTACATGTTGCAGTAATCTGTTGAATGACAGACTCAGGCAATAAGAAGATACTTGCCCAGTGTGTATGCTATGTCATTAAGACAGAATTGATAAGTACCACTCTACCAGCATAGGATAGATGCCTTGATGCCCAACACTTCATTTTTCCTGTTAGCTTTTCTATCAGAATTTGACAGTCTCCTTTGTTCCATGCTGTGGGTGAGAGAGGTAAGCCAAGATACTTCATGGGGAATGCTCCTCTGTCAAAGCCAATAATTGTCTACAACTGCTCTTGTTGATCACTCCCTATACCACCAAAAGATATATTAGACTCATTCAAGTTTACCCTCAGTCCAGAGCTTCCTGCAAAGTGGTCCAGGATCTCTTTTTTCACTATCTTCAAAGTTTTCTTCTTAGCTCCACAGAATATAAGCAGATCATCTGCAAAGCTGAGTGATGTAATCCTCAGTTTGTCACGATGGGGATGAAACACATAATCTTCTCTCTCAGCTGCTTTCTTGAATAGCTTTGTCAAATATTCCATAACCAACACAAAAATAAGTGGTGATATTGGATCTCCCCGTAAGTCCCCTTTTCCCTTGGAAAAATCCAACACTGTTCCCATTCAGCTTCAGAGAATAAAAACAAGGTGTTATACAAGTCATGATCCATTGTCTGTATTTGACCGGAAATCCAAAACCCTTCAACATCTCCTCTATAAATTCCCAATTGATGGAATCATAGGCCTTCCTCAGATTAACTTTAAGCATGCAACTTGGTTTAAAATTCTGTCTATTTATATTGTCTTATAAGCTCATGAGCTAATAGAATATTATGCAATATTGATCTATTTTGCACAAATTCTTCTTGATTAAGATCAACCAAGTCAGGAAGAATCAAGCTCAGCCTTTTACAGATCATCTTAGAGATACATTTGTAAATGGTATTACAGCATGATATAGGTCTGTACTCAGTTGCATCATGAGGGCATTCATTCTTTAGGATTAGTGAAATAAGAGTTACATTTACCTGTTTCAACATTTTACTAGTTCTGAAAAATTCCAGCACTACACATAAGTCATCTCCAATATATTCCATGTATTCTTGTAAAATCCACTACTAAAACCATCTGGTCCAACACTTTTGTTTATATCTATACTGAAAAGAGCTTTCTTTACATCAGCCTCAGTGATTATGCAGTCAGAAAGACCTGCTGCTCTACAATCAATTTGATCCATGACTGATGGAGTTCATTCCTAGCAAGGGTTCTGTCCCCTGATACCCCAAGTAGATTCTGATAGTAAGTGAGGAAATGATCTTCCACCTTTTGCCAGTCTTCTTCCCCATCACTTCTGGTATAAGATCTGATACCCCATGTAGATTCTGATAGTAAGTAACTGAGTACTGCTTTGCTTTTATCAACATAATCTTTGTTCATTTGCTTCTCTTCTACTTGTAATGCCTCATTCAATGGATCCTCCTTCTAGGCTCCCTAGATTTGCTCCAACTTCAATCTATATTCTTGTGCTTGAGCTTCTATATTAGTATACTCTTCTCTACTTAGCTTCCTTAGCCAATATTTCATCATTTTTTGCTTCATCACAAATTTGTACTGCTTGCTACCCTTTACTTCCATATACCAATGCTCTTGAACAATCTGTTTAAAGTTAGGGTGTTGCATCCACACATTATAAAATTTGAAAGCCCTTTTCCTTACTGGTACATTTCCTTCCCATCTGACCAATAAGGCATTGTGATCTAAAATTCCGTGGCATAATATTCACAAAAGCTTCTGTGTATTTTTGCATCCATTCATCATTCACCAACACTCTATCAATTTTTGACATGATTCTCTGATTGCCAAGCTGTTTATTACACCATGTGTGTCTCCCCCCATTCATCTGCATTTCCCATAACTCATTTCCTTCTATCATTTGATTGAACTTGTCTTTATCAGGACTAAGTTCATTAATACCTCTAATCCTTTCTTCAGTCTGCCTTATGCAGTTAAAGTCTCCCAGCATAATCCATTTCCCTTTGGCTGAACTTGATAATTCCTGTAACTCTTTCCATAAAATTTCCCTTCATGTAGCATTATATCTTCATATACCATTGTCAGATAAAACTTACTATTCCTTGCATACTCTTTCACATTGTAATGTATAAACTGAGGCTTTACTTTTATAGCATTCACTCGATATTCCCCTTTTCTCCACATCATTAAAATTCTTCGTTTTTCTCATGATTCCTGGTTGCTGATGTAGTCAAATTGATACCATTTTCTACCCATAATCTCACCCACCTTCTCTTTATTCAGTTTTTTTTTCCAAAAGCCCTGCTATTCCAACCTTATTCATAGAGAGAAATGTATCAATCTCCCTATGCTTCAGGGGGCTGTTAATTAAGTCCCCTTATATTCCATGCTAAAAGGTTATTCATGTCTACTAGACCCTTCAGAAGGGTGACTAGTATCATGATAACAAATATCATTCATAGATCTCTTTTTATCACATGGTCTTTCCCCAGTGATCCTCACACCCTTCTGATTTCTTATTAGTATTCCCGCTTCATCATCTTTACTTTCTGCTCTCTTCATGACCCTGATAGAGTGATCTTTAACTGGTGTTTTAGCATTCACATTTTCTTGTTCCCCCGTTTCTTTATGAACCACATTCACTTCCTATTGTTCAGCCAGATCATTTTCCTTCTGAAACCACTTTAGGTACTTCTCTATTCTTCCATGCTTTCACTACAGGTTGTCCAAATCCTTTACAATTGGAACACTTAACAGGTTTCCACTCATAATGGATTGTTTGCTCATATAATTCACCTTTCTCATTCTCATACCACACTGACTCTTTCAGTTTATCCTTTATTTCAACTTCCACTAATACTCTTGCATAAGCCACTCTCAGTTTTTGCGAAGTCATGTCATCCATTTCAACTGGAGTACCAACCTTACTTGGAAGCTTAATTAGAACCGTAGGATTCCAGTATCTCAAAGGCAATATATGGAATTGAATCCGCACTGGGACTTTCCTTATCTCATTCATCTTGATTTCCTCTTTAACAGACCAATCTTTTACAATAAGAGGCTTTCCATCAAAATGGTACACATTCTATTTTAGAATTTCCTCTTTAACCATTAATGTCTTGAACCTGACAATATACACTCCATTCTCTAGCAGTAGAAGCTTATCCACCAATTCTCCCCCATGTTCTTCGTATAATTCCATTCATTATTGAAAATGGAGGATTAGATCCAAGAACATAACAGATCACAGAGCTTTGCCAGTATTCAATCTCACTTTGAACTTCTTTTCCGTAATGTTCCCTATCTCTCTTTCATTCATCATGCGTGGTTCTATAAACTGCAATTTTTTCTCTGGACTCTGAAGTTTCTTCGGATCAAAAGAATCCCATACATTCAATTCTTTAATAGTTTCCCTTGTTTCTAGCCCTTTCATCTCGAAATGATTTTGATTATCATATCCAATTGTAATACATACACAATGATAGATTACAGTGTCTCTAGCGCATTTATTGGTCTACAAAAATAATTTAACAATTATAATGGTAAGCCAAAACACAATACTGGAGTGCTGCTGACGACTCGCTAGCAATCTTTTTCTATTTTCTTTCTAAAATCTATATAAGTAGGAAACAAAACGCTCAATAAGCTAAATAAAAGTCTTATCCCGGATCAAGACTTCTAACCATATCTTTTACACAACAAATCTATACACCGCTGAGAAGGTTTTGTCAAATGATGCATACCCAAAGCCAACTTCTTTCATTACTGCGGATGCCATTGGTGCATTTTCACAGCTCTCTTCAATAATTGATTGAGCTCCTCCAATTCCTTTCTGGCCTTTGTATGACATATAAATGGAGCAGTTCTCATGTTTGTTGCGAGAGTGGCTAAACCAAAAATATATAATAGTCCATTAGATGATTCTAACACAAAAAATATAGACAGGAAAATAACAATCTCAACAAACTTTACCCGAATTTCTCTAGCAAGCTCGAGAAGGGTTATAAACAAACAAGACATATTGTGTGTCTGGATGACAAAAAGAAGTGAAAAGAAGAATGCATAGAGAGGGCAAGAAGTACTAAAATGGTGGAGAAAGATATATTCCATTTAAAAACAAAGTTAGTTGGAAATATTTATTGACAGATTTATTGGTGGAAAAGGTACGAGGGTGAAAGATGCAGCCAACGATGCTTGCAGAAAATGAGAGGAAGTCCTTAGATCTGAATCTCAGTAAGAATATCCTAGTTGAAGGCAAGAAGGAAATAGGTACTGATCACAAGAATGTCCACTTGAAATCCATTGAATCTAATCTTAGACTGGACAGTGGTGTACATTATTTGTCTCTAATAACACTAGAATCTGAGACAAGTTTTTACAATTCTCTTTGTTGTTTTTGCATGTTAGAGTCTGTAGGAAAGGATATTATCATGTTTACTTTGAGTTGCATTTGCTTGAGGACAAGCAAAAATCTAAGTGTGGGGGATTTTGATAGGTCTTGAAGTTTCATGTTATTTATGGGTATTTGTATAGCATTTCGGATTATATTGTGCACTTATGTTGTGTATTTAGATTTTTTTAGTTCTTAGGTGTGATTGGAGCTGAGATGGAGAAAAATGTTCCATAAACACACATTTTTGGAGCATTTTGACAAGGAAGCACAAAAAGGGAGCAATGACATCACATTCTCGTGTGGGCACACGAATCTCAGTCCAAAATTGGGCTTTAGAGAAGAAATTCCAGCATTGATGCTGCATTCCCGTTTGGCCAAACCGAAGTAGGGACTAAATTGAAAAAGTAAAGAAGTTTTAGGGTCAAAATGTTATTTTTCCAAACTTGATGGACCAATATGCAAATCTCAGAAAAGTTAATTTGCAGTTGAGAAATTCTGAAAGTTGCTGGCGGCTGACCTACTTTTTGGCATATAAATTGATTTTATTCTTTTCTGGAAGAGGGGGCCTGAATGTGAGAAGAAGAAGAGGAGGCTGGAGTGGGCCTTATTCTTCCCCATTCTCCATAGTTTTGTTTCAGTAAGGCTTTATTATGTGTAACTAAATTACTTTTCCAGTTGAAAGATATTGAAACCTTGGTTCTTAATAGTTGTGAGATCTAAATGTTTTTCATTTCTCAATTCTTTGTAAGTATTTGCTTGTTCTTTTGAATGATTGATATAAAGATTTTGGATTCATGAATAGCTGGTAGCATTCATTATTTCATGATAGTTAACAACCAATAAGGCAGCAAGGTTTGTTGTTTTAAAAGGGACTGATATAATTAAATTATTTGGTAAGTGATTTTGTTATGTTATAAGAACAAGTAATCTGGTTTTTTTTATTAAACAAGGTTTGTTTCATAGGAATCAGAATTGGGTCTTTGTACTTAATGCAGTCATTTTCTTAATCTTAGGAGGTTCCAGGATTGAATTCCAACTAGTGTGTTTAATGAAGGTTTTCTTAATCACTAAACTTAGTTCAGATTGAGTTGTTAGGAGGTTCCAACAACGAAAACTAATTTGCCTATAAGTGATTAAGCAGATCATTGCATCTATGATCAATTATCTAGACCAAGGTGGATATAAAATCTTTTGACCAGAAGCTTTCTCATAATTTGCTTTCATTTTTTTTAACTATCATTTGAATTTGAATTTTAACTACATTTTAGTTTTAAAAACTCAAAACCCACCTTTGGGTTACTTATTTGAAAGAAACGAATCCACCATTCCCTGAGGAGGCGACCTTGCTTTCCTATGCTACTAGTTTGAAAGTAGGTTAAATTGTTTGTTGGCTTGACACCCCACCAAAAATGGCGCCGTTGCCGGGGAACGGTGTACATTGATTTGTTTCTTTTAATTTTTTTTTTGTCCTATTTTTTTTTCTACCATGGATGCATACGGACAGCAGTTTTGGGACCAACGCGATGGCTTTAATTGGAGTGCCAAAGAGGTACACGTTTCATCTACTGAACAAAAATTAGATGAACTAACCTCTCTTGTGACAAGTTTGGATGCAAGTCAATTGCAACAATTGCAAAGGTGTGGTGTTTGTTTTATAATTGGTCATCCAAGAGGTTTTTGTCCAAGGTTTCCATACTACCAGTGGAAACGTGTGAATGCCATAAGAGAATCTTGGAGATCCCCACATGCAAGCTATGAATCCAATTCATACATTTATGATCCAAGTTGGCAAGGATATTCAGATTGCAACCATGACTACTCCTACGATTATTACTCACCACCACCACCACAAGCATGTCAACCTCCAGAAGTGTCACCAAACTCAAGTATGTATCTAGAAGATACGGTTATGAAATTGTCCACTAACATAGAAAACTTTTGTCAGGAAAGACGTGCTAGCAGTGAAAATTTGGATAGACAAATATCTGAGACGGTTACAAGAATGAATGAAGAGACTATCCAAAATAGTGAGTTAAAAACACCACGTGAAGAAGACTTTGAGCTATGGGATTCAGAGGACAAAGGAGTCATGGAAGATGAAGAAGAGTCTACAGAAGTTGCAAATGAGGTAACTAATAATTTTCTTTATCTAGTTTGACTGATTCAGTTGTCACTCCTTTTCATGATATGTTAGAAGAACCAGAAGAAGAAGAGCATGAACAAGATGCTATAGATACATCTTCCAATGGAGAGGTTCATGTTCGTATTTCGGAAGAATTTGACGAGTTCCCTTGTGATGATGAATTTGAAGAGGAGTTGTGCACCAAAATTAATGAATCTACACTCCAAGGTAATGAGGTAATTTCAGTTGGAGAACATCTCTCTGATATAGTCCAACCGAAATTACTTTTCAAATGCCATGATACAGGTATACCTACTCCTTCATGTACTTTTAGAAATCTTAAAAGTGATAAATTTATCATAGATTTTGGGGTTGGTGTTATTATCATTCCTCAGTCTGTGTTTAAGTTCTTGAAACTTGTGTCATTGAATGAAATTGATGAAGTTATAAAACTTGTTGATGAGTCTTGTGCTAGTCTTGCGTGTGTTGAAGATGGTTTATCTGTCCAATGTGGGGAAAATATTTTTTCTACTAATTTTGATGCGATTAATGTGAAAGAAAATTTAGTCTTAAACTCAAGTCCATGCTTCTTAGGTAGATCATTTC